ATGGGCTGCCAGGGGCTTGGACACTGCCAGGGTGGCTCTACATGGGCTGTCAGGTACCTGGACACTGCCAGGGTGGCTCTACATGGGCTGCAGGCACCAGGACACTGCCAGGATGGCTCCACTGCCTGCCTGGTGTGCTCCTCAGGACACCTTGGCTGCAGTGAGCAGAAATGGGCTGTGGGAGGCTGTTTGACGGGCATGAGCTGAGTGGCAGGGGAGGGCGAGGCTCCGTGCTGAGCTGCTGCCACCAAGGGTCGCGGCGTGTCTGTGCAGCAGGTCCCTGCTCGCTGCGTGTGCCAGCACAACACGGCCGGGCCGCACTGCGAGCGCTGCGCCGCCCTGTTCAACGCCCGGCCCTGGGCGCCCGCCGAGGACAGCGACCCCCACGCCTGCCAGCGTACGGCCAGTGCCCCCCCTGCCCCAAATCCTGCCCGCGGCAGCTCCAGCCCCTGCCTGGGGACACCAGCCTCTCGTGGGCTGCAGCCGTGCCCAGCCCTGGTGCCGCTGTGGGGCTGGCACGGGTGTCACCGTGTCGCACGGGACCCGCTGCTGCCGCTGGAGGGGTTTGCACGGCACCGGCTCCAGCTGAGCCCTTTTCTGGGATCTTTCAGGGTGTGAGTGCAATGGCCACGCGTCCTCGTGCCACTTCGACCCGGAGGTGTACCAGGCCAGCGGCGGGGCGGACGGGGGCGTGTGTGACAGCTGCCAGCACAACACCGAGGGCACCAACTGCGAGCGCTGCAAATCCGGCTACTTCCGCAACCCGCGGCGGGCGCTGAGCCACCCCGAGGCCTGTCTGCGTGAGTGCCGCCCCGCAGCCCCGCAGTGCCCTCCCCGCGGGCTGCCCCCTCAGCTGGCACCTCTCTGGCCCCTTTGCAGCCTGCGAGTGTGACCCGGAGGGCACCGTGCCCGGCTCCGTCTGCGACCCGGACACGGGGCGCTGCGTCTGCAAGGATAATGTGCAGGGCGACCGCTGCCACCTCTGCAAGCCGGGCTTTGCCCAGCTGGCCGCTGCCAACCCCGCTGGGTGCCGCAGTGAGTACCCCTGGGATGCCCCCCTGCCCCCGGGGTGCCCCCTCCCAAAGGGAGCCGGGTCCTGCCCGGCTTTGCTTTGGGGTTTGCAAGCCAAGGGCCCGTTTTGTGAAGGTTCATAAAAGCTCCTGGCTCAGGCTGGGGCTGGTCTCAGGTGTACTTTTGGTGGGGTTTGGGGGTGATGCCACGCAGAGCGGGCCAGCTGTGGCTCGGGGCACTGCCGTGTCCCCTCGGGCTGGGGGACACTGGGACCCTCGGGC